GCTCCAAAGCAAGCCCTGGTCCTTAAGATTTTGGGCTCATTTCTTGCTCCGAAGAGTCAAATCGCAAGCCCTGGTCCCGAAGATTTCGGGTTCAATTTTTGCTCCACAGAGTCAAACCGCAAGCCCTGGTCCCTAAGATTTGGGGCACAGTTTTTGCTCCAAAGGGTCAAATCGCAAGCCCTGGTCCCTAAGATTTTGGGCGCATTTCTTGCCCAAAAGAGTGACATCGCAAGCCCTGGTCCCTAAGATCTTGGGCCCAGTTGCTCCAAAGAGTCAAATCGCAAGCCCTGGTCCCTAAGATTTTGGGCCCAGTTTTTGCTCCAAAGGGTCAAATCGCAAGCCCTGGTCCCTAAGATTTTGGGTTCAATCTTTGCTCCAAAGAGTAACATCGCAAGCCCTGGTCCCTAAGATTTGGGGCCCAGTTTTTGCTCCGAAGAGTCAAATCGCAAGCCCTGGTCCCTAAGATTTTGGGTTCAATTTTTGCTCCAAAGAGTGACATCGCAAGCTCTGGTCCCTAAGATTGGGGGCCCAGTTTTTGCTCCAAAGAGTGACATCGCAAGTCCTGGTCCCTAAGATTTTGGGTTCAATTTTTGCTCCAAAGAGTGACATCGCAAGCCCTGGTCCCTAAGATTTGGGGCCCAGTTTTTGCTCCAAAGAGTAACATCGCAAGCCCTGGTCCCTAAGATTTTGGGCCCAGTTTTTGCTCCAAAGAGTCAAATCGCAAGCCCTGGTCCCTAAGATTTGGGGCCCAGTTTTTGCTCCAAAGAGTGACATCGCAAGTCCTGGTCCCTAAGATTTTGGGTTCAATTTTTGCTCCAAAGAGTGACATCGCAAGCCCTGGTCCTTAAGATTTTGGGTTCGTTTTTTGCTCCAAAGAGTGACATCGCAAGCCCTGGTCCCTAAGATTTGGGGCCCAGTTTTTGCTCCAAAGAGTCAAATCGCAAGCCCTGGTCCCTAAGATTTTGGGTTCATTTTTTGCTCCAAAGAGTCAAATCGCAAGCCCTGGTCCCTAAGATTTGGGGCCCAGTTTTTGCTCCAAAGAGTCAAATCGCAAGCCCTGGTCCCTAAGATTTTGGGTTCATTTTTTGCTCCAAAGAGTGACATCGCAAGCCCTTGTCCCTAAGATTTTGGGCCCAGTTTTTGGTTCAAAGAGTCAAATCGCAAGCCCTGGTCCCTAAGATTTTGGGTTCAATTTTTGCTCCAAAGAGTCAAACCGCAAGCCCTGGTCCCTAAGATTTGGGGCCCAGTTTTTGCTCCAAAGAGTCAAATCGCAAACCCTGCTCCCTAAGATTTTGGGCCCAGTTTTTGCTCCAAAGAGTCAAATCGCAAGCCCTGGTCCCTAAGACTTTGGGTTCAATTTTGCTCCAAAGAGTGACATCGCAAGCCCTGGTCCCTAAGATTTGGGGCCCAGTTTTTGCGCCAAAGAGTAAAATCGCAAGCCCTGGTCCCTTAGATTTTTGGGTCGATTTTTGCTCCAAAGAGTCAAATCGCAAGCCCTGGTCCCTAAGTTTTCGGGGTCGATTTGTGCTCCACAGAGTCAAATCGCAAGCCCTGGTCCCTAAGATTTCGGGGTCGATTTGTGCTCCACGGAGTCAAATTGCAAGCCCTGGTCCCTAAGATTTTGGGCCCAGTATTTGCTCCAAAAGGTGAAATCGCAAGCCCCGGTCTTTAAGATTTTGGGCTCATTTCTTGCTCCAAAGAGTAACATCGCAAGCCCTGGTCCCTAAGATTTTGGAATCGATTTTTGCTCCAAAGAGTCAGATCGCAAGCCCTGGTCCTAAAATGTTGGGCTCAATTTTTGCTTTTCCCTTCTCTTCTGCTGATAAAACACAAGAAAGGAACTCATATGATAAAGCAGTGGAAAGGTAAGCAGAGGGTGACTCCTTGCGCGTGAGCCTTTCCATAATACTCCATCATATTCATCCTCTCGGCCTATCTCTTCTGTTCCTTTCCTTACTCTTCTCCTTCTCATAGTTCTTCCTTTTTGTTTTTCTCATTTCGAAAAGAAAGAGGGAAGGGAGAAACAAGGGAGAGAGAATAGATAAAGAAGAGTGCCATCTTCTCTGCGCCTTGTTTTGTCTCTCCCTCTTCTCTATTCATCTGTCTTCTATTCTCTTCCTTGCTCTTCCCATTAAATATGCAATCCTTGGTATCTCTCCTCTCTCCTTCTCTCTTCCTCCAACAGATGTGCTTTTGGATCGTTTTCTGCATCTTCAAGCGAGAAAAAAGGACACAGACTGCGATTAAAAGGGACGCCCATGTTGGATTGGCAGCAAGCCCAGCTGATGCTCATGATTCTCTCTCTTTCCCTACACATGGGCGATGGAACGGGTGTCCTTTTCAATCGTTTTCTGCATCTTCAAGAGAAACAGGGACACCCCACAAGAAGGAAAAGCAACATAAGAGATAGGGAGGGAAATTGACCCTTTCCTCTCTTCTTATCTGCTATTTTTCTTATTCGCTTCAAAAAGCAACATAAGGGAAAGGGGATTTCCTGAAGAGGAGAGAGGGAACCTATCTGTGAAAAGCAAGAATGGTTTTTTCTAGTTCGAAAGGGAATAGGGAGAGACAAGGGAGAGATGATATGTACAGCTTTGCGCCTTATTTTGTGATTCCGTCTCCTTGCTTCCTGTCTCTTCTATTCCTTGCAGCACGCTTCGGGAAACATAGCATCCTTGTTATCTTTCCTCTCTCACTTCCCTTTCCCTTCTCTTCTTCCGCTTCCTTTTAACTGATAAAACACAAGAAAGGAACTCATATGATAAAGCAGTGAAAAGGTAAGCAGAGGGTGACTCCTTGCGCGTGAGCCTTTCCATAATACTCCATCATATTCATCCTCTCGGCCTATCTCTTCTGTTCCTTTCCTTACTCTTCTCCTTCTCATAGTTCTTCCTTTTTGTTTTTCTCATTTCGAAAAGAAAGAGGGAAGGGAGAAACAAGGGAGAGAGAATAGATAAAGAAGAGCGCCATCTTCTCTATTCATCTGTCTTCTATTCTCTTCCTTGCTCTTCCCATTAAATATGCAATCCTTGGTATCTCTCCTCTCTCCTTCTCTCTTCCTCCAACAGATGTGCTTTTGGATCGTTTTCTGCATCTTCAAGCGAGAAAAAAGGACACAGAATGCGATTAAAAGGGACGCCCATGTTGGATTGGCAGCAAGCCCAGCTGATGCTCATGATTCTCTCTCTTTTTCCCTACATATGGGCGATGGAACGGGTGTCCTTTTCAATCGTTTTCTGCATCTTCAAGAGAAAAAGGGACACCCCACAAGAAGGAAAAGTAACATAAGAGATAGGGAGGGAAATTGAAGAACTCCTCATTGTACTTGGTCATTCCCTTTCCTCTCTTCTTATCTGCCCATTTTCTGTGCGCCTTGTTTTGTCTCCCCCTCTTCTCCCATCATCTCTCTTCTGGTCTTTTCTTTGCTCTTCCCATTAAAAATGCAACCCTTTTTATGTCTCCTCTCTCCTTCTCTCTCCCTCCTCTTCTCCTGTTCCCTTCTAAACGACAAAAACGCAAGAAAGGAAGAATAAGAGGGGAATGGAGGCCCTGTTCCTTTTCCTCTTTCAATGGATGGGGGAAGTGGGCGGAGTTGGCCCCTTGCCCGTACACCCTCCCCATGCTTCAGCAAACCCCTCCTCTCGCCCTATCGCCTCTGTTTTTTTTCCTTGTGCCCAAACGGAAAACGAAAACGGGTTCCTTTATATGTTCATTGTCCTTCCTTTTGTTTTTTTATTTCACAGGGAAAAGAACCAGAGAAGAGGAAGATAAGAACGAGAGGTGAGATGAAAACGGCACCATCTTCTCTTTGCCTTATTTTTGCACCTCCCTCTCCTGTCTTAATTTCTCTTCCACTCTTTTTTTCCATTGCTCTTCCCATAATATTGCATTCCTTTTGATAACTCACAGGAAATTAAAATGGCCTCCTTGTTGTCTCTCCTCTCTCACTTCCCTTTCCCTTCTCTCCTTCTGTTTCCTTTTAATTTTAACTGATAAAACACAAGAAAGGAGCTTGTAAAATCAAGCAGTGGAAGGGTAAGCAGAAGGTGACTCCTTGTGCGTGGACCTTTGCCGTACTTCACCATACCCCTCTTTTCGGCCTATCTCTTCGGCTCTTTTCCTAACCCTTCTTCTTTTCATCTTTCTTTTTGTTTTTCTCATTTCGAAAAGACAGAGGGAACGGAGAGATAAGGGAGAGAGGATAGATAAAGAAGAGTACCATCTTCTTTGCGCCTTGTTTTATCTCTCTTCTATTCTTTTCTTGGCTCTTCCCATGAAAATCGTGTTCCTCTTATCTTTCCCTCCTTCTCTCCCTTCTCTTCTCCTCACGAGAGCCTTCGACTTTAGGATTGAGGAGAAAAAGAGAAGAGAAAAGAGGAACTACCTGGTTCTTGTTCCTGAGGCCTCCATAGTACGACTGACGTGACAGCAGCGTACCCTCGTGGAAACGTGTATGGCTATAAGAAAACCCGAGTCCCAGCTTCCAAATAGACCCTATTTAAGCCACCCACCCCCCCCCCCCCCCCCCCAGTTCGAAAACATCCGCCCTCTCGCGTGCGAGGATCCTTCGCCCCATCTTCGGCGAGACCATCAGCCAATTCAGCCAGCATGAGTGTGCCGACTGCGATGGCTCATCGTTTGTGTGTGGCGAAAGGTTGATTTTGGGATTAGGGCTTGGGGAGTCAGTCGAACATACAGATTGTAGGTTCTGGCCATCTTGCCCATCCAGGTATCCGTTCTGTGACAATCTGCAAAGCCCCAGTGCATAGGTAAAACGCATGTTTGCAGTATTTGTGGTGGGGTGCTGTAGGGTGGCTTTGGAGTGTTTGAGGAGAAGATCATTGGCGATTGTTGCTTTTATCTTGGGGTATAGGGTCCCAAAGGCCATTGGGCAAGAGGGCTCGTGGGATGGTCAATGGAAATCCCAGCTCCCAAATCCTAGCTGCCCTAGCTGCCCTAGCTGCAGGTGGTGGGTGGTGCTGCGAACCATTATCGGCTGGATGGTGCTAGCATATGGCAGCCCGACCTGCAGATAGCCACCTTAGCCTACCGAATCTGTCGCAATGGATCACTGGAGTCAAGCGCCAGGCAAAAGAGAGTGCAAAGGTACATGCGGAGTCTAGTTTCTCGACTTTTCTTCTTTTGGTAAGCTTAAGGGCTACTTCTCAAACTCAAGTTGGTCAGGCGTGTGGATGTGGACCTGGTGGCTTCCGTCCCTTTACTTCCGTATGCACGATGCCTACTTGAAGGCGGCGCAGCACAGTTCAAAGCCGAAAGTGCCTAAAGCCGCTAAGCCCCAAAACCTTTGTGTCTAAAAAGGGGCTATGCGCAGAACTCAGATTGAGGCTCTGGGGTTGTTGAAGTTGGGCTGAGTTGAGCGCTCTTCTCCGTTCAGTATGCCCCGCACAGCGTAGTGTCTGGTGAGTGCTGCCAGGTGAGTGCCAGGGTGGAAGACTGTGAAACCCCAACCATCATATCTGTCTTTGGACCCTGCATACTAAAATAATAATCATAATCATAATCATGATACGACTTAAGCCTGAGCACGACCTCGGGCTGGTGTGCAGCTCGAGGCCAACCAACTCGATCACCAAAGTAGTGAAGGACTCGCTCCACCCCGCAATATCCTGACAGGAAGACATCGAGGGCCGAAGCTTCCAGCAGTACCTCACCTACCACTTCAATTACTGGATGACCTCAGGCACTCGCGCTGGGTAGATTTACAGAACTGCAGGCAGCGAATTCCCACCCGTGGGCTAAAGACGGTGGGTGTTGAGGGAATGCCTTCAGGCTGGCAATGCGACAAACTCGCAGCACATTAAGAAGGCTACCTTGAAGCATGAGGTTGGGATTCGTGGTTCCAGTTCATGCGACCTGGTCGTGATCTTGGGCAGGTGGCATCGCTGCAATGTTCAAACTTCTGGGAATCGGAATTCTGACGCTGCTGACCATTGGTCCGGGACCCGGACACCCTTCGTGGGACAAAGCTTTCGGGTGCCTTTCAAGGCTTGTTGGGAGTCTGGTGGGAGTCTTATTCTTGGAGCCTGGTGGAAAGCTTTACAACTGCTATTATGGAGCTTTTTGGGCATGCTTTTGGGAGCCTTCTGGAGCCCCGCACTTGAACATGAAGCAAAGTAAGCACATCCAGCGGAGGAGGTTGAGCCACAATATGGCTCAGTAGACCTTTCATGCTGCGATTGGTGTAGCATGCGCTTGCTTGATGCAAATCTGGCAACGGGGCCAAAGACATGGTTTCGGCAAATGGCTTGTGACCAGTTGGTGCTGCTGAATTTTGAATTCGGTCTCGCCGGTTCTTGTCACAATGAGCACGCTCAGTGTCCAGACCTTCGCGCAGTATCCTCACCCTCCAGTGTGTGAGAGTTGAACGCCCCCAAACTTGAAGCTTTGCACACAGTTTGTTTCATTTGGGGTCCTGGGAGGTGCCTTCATCTATGCCATCTTGATGCAGGTGCCATCGCGGCACGGCGTAGGCTCTTGGAGTCTGTGAGGTCTTGGAGTCTGTGAGGTTTCGGCAATTTTCGCCGAACACCCCAAGATTCAGTGCCTTATGCATTGCTTTGCCCGGATTAGTTCAAAAAGCCTGCTGGGTTTGCTGGGGTGTGTGAGAAACACAAAATCCCTCGAACCAGCCCTTTGGGCTCTTAGGGCTTAAGGGGAGTTCAGGGTGAAGGTCGCAGGGCTTCTTGCTGAGGACTCCCCGGTGCGTGGCCTGTGGCTTTGCACTGTCTGGGCTTCCGCTGCCTCGGTGGACCCGGCGGTGACCGCGATGGAAGGCCAGCTGGATGATGTAGTGCCTACATGATGTGATTTCTCTTGGGTTGATGTGGAGGTTCCGACAGCCATGTCACCCCTCTACCCCCAAACATAAACTCCAAACCCCCATCGGACGGGAGGCGGCGTCGGCATGCTCTTGACCTTTGGGGGCCTCGTGCTCCTGGCAGCCCTTCTGGCTGCTGATTGGTGGGCGAGGGCTTTCAGGGTTCTTTCGGGTGCTTGGGCGGTTCCGTCTTTCGAAAGTGAGTGATGAAGATGCCGTGGGGGACTACATGAGAAGTGCTTCACGACGGCCTCAGTAGTGTGACGTAGTGATGTACCTACTCAGCCATCAACGGCGGCACTATTTCGACATGCTTTGCATTTACTGGGCCATGTTTACTCGGTCCTTGGGTTTCCAGCGCCCACTGCCCCTGCCAACACACACGCCGCTACGCCTTAAACATCAGCTCCAGACGACATCCTTGCGGCAACGATCAGCAAACCAGGAGAAGAACCGGAAGAGCTCTGTCCGCAAATCGCAGCACGCCTCTGACGTGGGGGTTTCGCGCAGCAGACTTGGCAGCTGAGGTTCTGCTTACGACCATCTCGGATTTCTTCGCTGCGCAGCAGCGGTCCCGTGGCAGATTGAAGATGTTTAAGCACTTCAGGAGGCTCCAATCAATTGGAGCAATTCAGGAGGGTACAATCAGTTGGGGCTTTGGTGCTTTTTGGGCCTTCGTCATGGGATGTTCAGCCCATGGGAATTGAAACCTCTTAGGCTCTTCGGGATATTTCATGGAAACTCCACCCTTAAACGACTGTGTCCTACGCGCAAAAGTTACCTGCAGATTGCTGACAGCAGAAGCACGGCGTTGTTGGGTTCCTGACTGGGAAGATGCTGCGCTTCCAATGTTTTGGCCCTGGAGGAAGTCCAACGAGGGCCGGGACCCCATCGTGGAGGCACCTTGGCATTTGCGGGGGTGGGGTGGGGGGGGGGGGTTGCAGCCACCGAATCTGAATACGTACTCATATCAGGGACGGAATCTTCTCGTGGCCCCAACTACATCCTCAAAGTACAGTGCTCTACTTATCTTCCTCTTTCGGCGGGCGTGCTTCGAATGTGGTGGCTTTGTCTTTCGGTCAAGACTCCCAGCAGTTATTACCTGCAATTCGCCAGGCAATTTCTTTTTTCCAGCTGCCACCCTTGATTCTCCCAGGATTGCTTCGCTCAGAATGTCCAATTGCCATGCTGCTCAAACCTTCACCTTCGAAATCCCAGTCGTGCCAGGGAGGACACCTTGTCTTGCTGGGCTTGTCCTCGCAGACGAAGCAGTTCATCGAGGAGTGCCTTGGAGAATGTCCACCTGTCCAACCGACAAATGGGGTCGCATTAACGATGAAGGTGGAGTAGGTAGAGATTGCGTGGGGCCTCGGATTGCACGAGAGTTGGCAAAGGGTTTGGGGCGTGGGGCCAAGCCATGAGAAGTTTGAACCCTGAAGCCCAAATTTGGCTCATTCAAAGCGGGTCTGAAACCCCGGAACTCAGTGCAGAAAGTATTCCTTCGAGAGTAGAGGAAGTGCTTAAGGCTGAAATGCCTGAGGCTGGCGATCTGCGAGGCCAACTCAGCTCCGAAGACCATCGCGATTTTGGACACCATGCCGAAGTCTGAGACGCCTGGGGGCAAGAAGGGGGGAGGAGGACTCCTTGTGACCATGCCCCTGGTCTTCGAGTCGCTCTGCGAGCCACACTGTTTGGGCATTGACTATGGCCCAGTATGGCTGCTGTTCTTAAGGATTGGGGCATAGTGCAGGAAGCCCTAAGCATGACACCGCATTCGGACTTCTGGCTGCAAGACCTTGTTAAAGCTGAACAACTCGCACCTCAAAACCTCAGGGTTTCAGCAAGGATTGAAGAAGAGCTCAAGCGGCAAAACACCAACACCGGAGATCTCAAGCACCTCGGCGCAGAAAACCAGAGTGAGCCCCCAGTGTTGGGGACTCAACATGCAGGCCGGGTTGCGGTTGTGGCAAGGCTGCGAGCTGTTGCAGAGGTTCTCGAGGGCTACTGAGAATCCTTTCGTCTCAGAGGTTTAAGCGGAGGTGTCGAGTTCAGGGCTTGATTGGGTCGAGATGCTCGCGGCTTCCTTCCAAATCCAGACTGCGCAGACTGACCCTGGTGGCCCAAACCGGAAAGCTCGCGTTGGCCTAAATCATTCAACCGCACCATTACGCGCAAGGATCGTTTGCCGCGGAGGCCTCCCTTCTTCGGCCGAGGATCTGGGTCGATTACGGTCGAGATGCTTCATCTTTCTGTTTGGGGGCGTATCCAGGTTTCGGCTACAAACAACTATGTCCAGTAAGAATCCCTGCAGCAGCCGGCAACCCTCATCTTCAAGCTCGCCACATCAGGACCTGTGGAAGGTCGGCGCAGACGTCTGCAGCAGGTCGGGCGACAGGGTGGGAATAGTCCGAGCTTACGGCTCTGGGCGATCAGGTTTAAGGTGTCGAGGGCGTGGGTTCGGGACAGGATACGGTAGAATTTGAGAAGCCCCCACCTGGACTAAGCAGACGTGCACATCGCCCTCAAAATTGAACGGTTTGTGAGTTACAGGGCCTCGGCTTCTTGATTTTTCCACCCTCATTGCTGACCTTTAGGACATGTGGGGCATATGGCGTAAGGTCCTAAATCCTGGGTCCCGCAACGTCACGCTGCATCCTCGCAAGCTAGCTTTCTGTAGACACCTCTCATTCCGGACCATCACTGTTCGGAGCGGCTCGTGCAGTTCACCTAATGCGCCTGAAGCTCTTTATCCGCAAGGCATATAAAAAGCAAAATAGAATCAAGAATAGTCTTTTGCTGGGCATCCGCAACCTCCAGGATCGTGATTCTGGACGAGCCTTCCCTGCCACGCGATGAGGCTCCATGGTTTTTTCGGTTAGCCTCTGCAGACACAGTTCAGCTAGTCGGCCATGAATGTGCCATAACTGGGCCAGAACATTTTTTTCTCAACAGTGCTTTCCGAGCTGAGTCTGAAGTAAACCGGCCAGAGATGGTGGGGATGCGGGTTTTGGGGGTTGCCCTTGTTATGTTGAGCAGGGGGCGAAATCACATGTTCAAGGCTTTGCCTCGGCATGTATGTACGAATGCATAGCCATGGAAGCTTGGCTGAAGAAGCGATGCCCGAAGCGCTTGGCTTGAGACTGAGCTTAGGGTCCCAAGTCCGCATGAGAGATTGCAACAGCCTATCTTGCATCATTATTCATGTCTGTTGGTGGTCTCTTTAAGTAGGGTTTCTGTTTTATCGGGGGTTTTTATAAGGTATAAGGGTAACAGATAAAGTGGCCACCGGCCGTTTTAAGTCATTATCTGTACAGGTAGGTACAGCTTGCAACTTGCCCCCCATGGCAGCTCGCATGTTGGCCATTGGCTCCACCCACTTCCGTCTGCGGGAGGCGAAGTTTGGAGATCCCAAAGTTGTGTTTCTCTTCGCGACGGATCCGCCCAACGTTGTGGAGCACTATGATGACTGCTTTGGGGCGATGCAGGATCAATTCCCGGATAGTGCGATGGTTGTTTTCGAGCTTCCGGGCTTTGGCTTGTCCCGCTCGGGCCAAAGCTCCTTGGATGGGCTGGCACAGGACCTGGCTTATCTGATCCGACAGATCAAGGAGGAACACTCGGCCTCGAAACTGGTGCTGATCATGCCCTGTGTCAGCGCGTTGTTTTGCCCCGTGGTTTTTGGGGAACTCCCCCAGGGCACCGTGGATTACCTGGTGGTTGTGCAGTGTGCAGACTATGCGGGAGAGCTGCGCTGGGCGAATGGGGTCAACTCACGGGGGATGCTTTCACTCCCCATCCTGGCTCGGCTGTATAACTACCTCAATGCCAAGGCTATCAGTGCCAACTGGTACATGGCCCCTCGCCTTCCAGCATCGCCTTCTTTTTTCGAATGCTTTGGGGGGCCCCCTCATGTTTGCTTCAACTCTCGGCTTCTGGGTTCTAGAGCGTCTAAGCACCCTAAGCACCTGTCCTTTCTTGATGTCCTGAGACCCAGGCGACCTTCCCGAAACGCGGGAGCTACCACGAGTGCTGTGGATGCAAGGCCCGACCTGAAAAGCTCTGGAACTCCGAATCATGAAAGCAATCGCGAAACCCCCCCCCCATCCCCCCCCCCCTCCCCAACAACACACAATCTAAAGCCATGTGAACCTCTATACCACCACCACAGCCTAGCCAGATTCTGCATGGCAGGGCATGTGTGTGGCAAACTGCAAATCAAACCTCTTCTGTCAAAGCGAAACACAAATCATCAAAACCTTCGTAAGCGCAGGCTTCCCAGGGCGACGTGGAGCACGGCGCTCTGCAAGCTCGATCTTCGAAAGCCCTTGAGAACTTTCTCGCCGTAGCAAGTTGAGGGGGTCCGACTTCTTGGGAGGTTTTGTGCATCTTTGCCTGGTGTTTGGGCACTTTGGGTGCAAGTCTCGCTCCTGCTTGAAAGTGCCAAGTGGGTTTCCAAAGAAGGAAAGTGGTTCTCCTCGGTGGCCGCCGGCGCTTTTGACTCGGGAGCTGCGTTTCCACTCGCCTGGTGCTTGCAGCGGCTCTTCTACTCACCGCCCTCTGGATCGAACCTCGTGCGCGTCCTGCGCGAAGACACCGGCATGATCAGGACCAACACGCTTGTGGTGTGGGGGATGCAGGATGGAACTCACCGCGCAAACCTGGAGGCCGAGGTGAAGTCGCCAACTTTTGCCCGCTACGTCTCCGGCCCGGTGGAGTGCAGGTGCTTCTCAGAGTCTGCACATTTCCCCGAGCTCCAGCACCCGCGGCGTTTCGCACGGACCGTCTTTGAATTCCTCCAGAGCTCGGAGGGCGCCCCTGCCGAGCCGATCAGTGGGAGAAGCAGGCTGTAAGCCCTAAACCAGACCCATACCAACTCAACTCTGAAATCAAACAGGGAAACGGGGAGTGCTTCTGCACCGTTCAAGGAATTCCCAGAGTGCCAAGACTTGGTGGCTTGTTCTGCCCAGGCAGCCGCAGACAAAAGAGCCAGTATGATGACTCCACGATGGGTCATACAGTGGAGAGATCTGGGTCATTCTGTGTTCTTGATCGAGAGTGTTTCGTGGTCTGGGATTTGTGCTCGGGAGTCGCAGTATCTATCCACAAAAAAGAAGGAAGTTTTGAATTGACTGGGCTGTAAGCCCCATCCCCAAAAAGGATAAGGCAATACAGTAACCCCATGTCGCCGTGGTCGCGAGGCAGATGCCATCACCTTCGGCACCCTGCTCACGTTGCGAGGTGCCTCGGTTTTTGATGTTCGGTAACTGCGACTACCAAGCAAAAAAAACAACTCTAGTTTTGAAGGCCGTGTTGCGCCTAAAGGTTAGAGAATCCTGACATCGCTCCGCTCTTACAAGCACTTCGTTGCAGGTCAGGGCAAGACTGGCTGGCCGAACAATGGCCATATCTCAGTTCAGCGACCTGGCCTGTTGAGAGCAACGGAATTTATCATCCAGCTGTCAAAAAGCCAACAAAACCCTTCGAAGCGTGAGGCAGGTGAAGAAGGCAGAGCAGACGCGGCACACTTCAAGTCTCTTTTCCGGGGAAGGCTGTTCAGCACAACCCAGGTGCTGCCTTGGCAAGAACGTGGGCTTCATGAATGAGCTTTACCCAGGCAGTTTATGGGGGGGGATTTCTTGCAGTGTTGTGCTATTCTTTGGAGTGCTTCACCAGGTCAATTCGGTTGCAACCTTCCAAACCCCAGCTCTAGCTCCTGGACATGATGGAGTTCTGGCATAGACGGGGTTCTGTTCGGCACTAGAATCCTGCACCGGAACCTGGCAACCTGCATTTTGACCGCGTGTGTTCGATTCTTTTCGTCCTGGGAGCTTTCGGCACCTGGCCTCTAATGTTTGCGGGCTCTGCCTCCCTCTCAGACTTTGACATTCTTTCTGGCTCCCATCGTGTGTACATGGTCTGTCGTCGACATTTGACAACAAAGACTCAGAAGTCTCAAACTACGAACCGCATCCGGCAGCCGAACCCTAGCCATGACCCGAACCTTCAGGGAAGACCTACGTCCTGAGCGGTGAGCGCCTGGGTCGCCTGATGGTGCAGAGCGCACAGGATCAGGCGGGATTGGGAGCTCAGGAGATGGACGCTCGAATGCTCTAGGAAGCTGCTTGACCAAGCCCCCCCCCCCGGGCCCGAATCCTTCAAACAGGCCTGGAGCGCCACCGTCTAACTCTCACTCAACCCCGAGTCTCGTGGACCTGGCAGCCTGACAGGGCCTGTGCCCCATCTTCAACGCCGCTCCCTCAGCTCGCAGTGCTGGGTTTGATTTCTCACCGGAAGGCAGATGCGTAGTCACGAGTGAACCAAGCCAAATGCAAATGTCAAAGGGATGAGCAATCAGACCTGGATTCTGCTGTCTGCCACATTTGCGGTTCACAGCCCTACCCTAGCATGTTCATGCCAGCGGGGGGTAAAAGGCACAAGATTGTAAATGGTTTTCTTTGTTTATGCTTAGTGGGGGGGGTGGGAGGTGGGGTGGTGGTGGTCGTGGTGGTGCTGGTAGTGGGCGGCGTTGGCGGTGGTGGTGGGGCTGTTGGTTCTTTCACCAGTCGAAAGCACTGGTTACAGCACCTGTGCCTCTTAACACAAGATGCTTCACAAGCTTTTTGCGAACGCCAGAATTTTCAGCGCTGCTGCCTTTGATGAAACAAACATACTGGACAAGAATGTTTGTATCTACGGCCAGACGCTGTCACAAGTGTTCATGCCTTTGGCCCAAACACTGCTATTACTAGCATTTGCCTTTGTCCCATCTTCTCCAAAAATATTAAATCTCCACCAACAGCCCTAAACCCTGACCATGCGTGACAGACGCGTCCAAAGCTCGAGTTTTGAGCGTTTCCCAACAATCAGCGGAAAGAAAAACAGACCCCCAACATCGCGGAGCGAAGCTTCGTTTCATGTGGCAGGCGTGGTACTTTCGGCATACGTGTCTCTAAGCCCTTGGTGCAGTTAACCCCTCAATGCACAGTACATGGACTGTGCTTGTTCTGCTTTTGCTTTTCCCCTTGAGCTGTGCGGCACGCAACAGCCACTCAAGGGCTCTTATTTTTGGAGCCCATCTTTTGGCCGATCTTTTACATGCAATCCGCTCGTAAGCCTGCAAAATACTTCCGAATGATTTCAGAATCATCCACAGCCAACAGCCCTTGCGAAGTTCAAGGCCATCATCGGCTTCGACGGAGACGAGTTCTACGCCGCCAAGGCCGTAGACATCGGCCTGGTCGGCAAGACCTTCCAGGCCGCCGCAGATGCCGAGGTCTTGGAAGTCTGTTTGGGAGTCTTGGCGCGTTTGGGGCGTCAAGATCTTGGAGCCAATAGGCTGCAGCAAGACTTCTCATGTCTCCCGAAGGAGCGACGTTCAGACTCTGCCACGTGTTGCCACTGAAGTTGGAAAGAACAGGCAACACACTGCATGCAGCACAGAATGAGCAGAGCCACAGCTCTCCTTGGACTATCGCCAGAAACCCTAGTCCACCCACATGGGTTCGCGCGTGCCACTTGGAGGAGGTGCCTTTCTGGTGCGAGAAGACGGTGCCGATTGGCATCCGGGATGGGTCAGGCTCTTCACTCCAAGAACCCAAGGGGGCTTCGACTGTGAGTCCATGTCAGGGCTTAAGGGGGCATGTAGATGCAGAGTACGGGGTTTGACTCTGCGAGCTTCAGGAGGCACTGCATGAGGCACGAGGCAACAGCTACCATGGTTGGTTTCTGGTTTGGGCCACGTCTGACTCGTTCTTTGCTATTTCTACATATCTGTTCTGTATCTCGCGCGGCAACAATCTCAAAACGAACGGTCGAGCCTCCCTGAATGACGGCGAGCAGGTGCCTATGTGATCAACCCGGAGAAGACCTACAAAGTGAAGATGGACAGCTCCACTCGTTGGCCTCCTTCGGAGTTGATTTAGGGGCTTTGGGTGTTCAAGGAAGAAGCCGCATATCAAGCTCGTTTATTTCGTCCATACCACAGCTCCCAACGCGGCAACCTCAAACCCGGCCCTCAACCAGAGCGGCAAGGGTCCACACCACAAAGTCTGACCGACGAGCTGCCGAAAAAGTAGTCGAGACCCAAAGCCTGTGGAGCTCAGAAGTGGCAGAACAATGATGTGGATACTGCAGTTCAGCAGCCTTTGCGTAGCCAACTTTCAGGACGACGAAATTATCGTTCTGGCCGAGGACGCTGGGGTAGGAGTCTGCCGTCTTGTCCCTGCCAGAATCACCATAGTCTACTTTGGTGACCCTCGACATCGACATCGAATCCCTGCTTGCTTAGCGGCTTAGTCGTGGGGGCCAGTTGCGCCTAGTCCTCGGAAGTTCCGTTCACCTTCTGTGGTGTTGCTACGTAGTCACGTAGTCTCTAGCTGGTGGATATTCTCCTGGAAGGCTAAGATCTTTCAGCTTCAACAGCACTTTCAGCGGAGCACTTTGCCGAGCTTGTCTTGCAGGATGATGACGCTATCCAGCGCATGTCCTCGCCATTGATGGACTTTCAGGTAGCGTCATACAAGGGGCCGTGTGTTCGGGGGGCGGGAAGCAACGTGCACAGCGCGTGCCAATACAGGAGTCTTGAGCCCGAAGCACTGAACATCAGCTTTGTTGCAGGCCTGGCATCGCAAGTACGGCGCGGCCACCTTTGTGGAAGCCGATCCCAACGACAACGTAGCACGGCCGCCAGTCGGGTGTAATCAGCCTCGCTTGTCTGCTGTGAAGGTGTGGTGTGAACTCGCTAGAAGGTCCTCACAGATCTTCGCAAACCTAGGTGGTAGTTTCTGCTCAATTCCGACTCTGCCCCTTACAGTCGCAAGGTATGCCTACGTAAGGCTTCAGGCATACAGCCATACAGCATCCTGCATGGTTGCATCAAGTTTCATGGGCCGATTGCCGGGTCAGGGTTTGGCTTCGCAAGCTGGTGTTGACAGAGCCCCTCAACCTCTCGGGCCTTTAGACAACAACTGCCCTTAAAGCTTTCTCAAGCCTCCCCAATCTTACTGCTTCCAAGTCTCAACCAGGAGCAGGTTCAGGTCCTCATCTGCAACTTTACCGAGCGAGGACACCGATCACCCAAAGGATTCTTTCAAAAGCCTGCTGACTGGGACTGGTGACCCGTGAAAAACTCAAGAGGGTGTCCCCTAGTTCTGGAGTCGGTATTGTCCTTGCGAACAGCTCTTGGGGCTTTCTTTTACTGGGCCTCTGGCGAACTCCGGAAGCATAGTCCTTTTCGCATCCTTCAGCGAGTTCTGCGTTGTAGCGTGTTTTGAGGGAAGCAACTCCGGAACAGAAGGTGCATAACCCCATGTGGACAAAGCAGGTGGCCTCAAGATTTTGCAGCATCCTTGTGTGCGCTGCAAAGCAGAATAGCCGTGCTTGTGCTTGTCCGCTACATGTGGCATGAGCTTGGAGTTCCGAAGATTCCGAGCTTTGGAGGATACGGCTGCGCCATCCTCTTCGCTCTGGACGAGTGCCGCAGCGCAAAGAGTTGCCGGGGCTAGAGCTTCCAAGGTTTAGGGGTGCTTACATGTGTTTGCGTAGCATCCGCGCCGTGGAGCTGTCATGAACCGTCGAAACCTGTCACAAGGATGGTCGCTGCAGGATCGGTGCCTGGTCAGCCATGGGGGAAGGGCTAGGGGCAGCTGGTCTCCAAAAACATCAGCTTGCAGAAAGAGGTGACGAGGCTTCAAGCCTTCGGGTATTTGCATGGAAGGCTTTCGCATTCTCTCATACTCGCAAGCCCAGGTTTGCGACATCTTCTGCTCGCTCTCAGACTCTTGGCCATGGTTGGAAGTCGGAGCTTTCGGAAACCACCGGGCCAGGCGGTTCACGATTGGAACTGCCCAGAACAGGACCAACAAGCAGTTCCAGACGGCTTTGGGGAACACGTCAGCTTACTCTAGTGACTGTAGTCTTCGCCCGGCCTGCCTTTGAAAGTGTCGCTGAATGACACCGCAGTTCACCCACCCACCGAAAGAGCCATGGCTGAATCAACGTAAGCACGACCCCACGCTCCCTTTGCGTAAACCCAACCCCAACTTGACGAGCCTGAGGAAGAAGAAGCCAGGGCCATCCTGAAGAATGCCGAGGATGAACAAGATCGCAAGCTGAAGAATATCCAGGCGGCCTGTTCTGGGTTTCGGGTTCAGAGCGGTAGCTAACTGGCACGTTAAGGGGAAGTGTCTTGGAGCGTTCTGCTGATTTAAGGCGGAGTTTCGGGACACAGTTTGATGGCAAATTTCGCGCACAGCCAACAGAGCACCCTACACAATTTATTTCGCAATGTCCCGACAAAAGGGCTGAAGTGTTCTGAAAGTAGGAAAAGTGTTCCGGAGCCCGGCATGCTTGGGGGCTAAAGCTTCCCAGAATTTCTCTGATGTCGTCTGGTTTCTCAGTCTCAATCGGCTCCGAGTCCTTGCGTCACTTACCCGGCAGGTGAGGTCAATCTACACCACGGCCCAGCATCAGATGACGTCGCAGCACAAGCTCAACATCATGCCCTTGCAGTGCCTTTCATGGCAAATGACACGGATTTGAAGGGGGTGGGGGGCCTTATCCCTGTTGCTAGCTTTTGGCACTCCCTCGCTCTACTACTCTTCCTCGCTTGGCGTGTGGACATGTGCCGTGAATTACTGTGCACCCACGACTTGTGCCCTCCAGATGTACAACACCGATGAGACCCTGCTGCTAAGCCACTGTAGGCCATAATCTCAGACTTCCCAAACCAATCTCACGGGCTGCTGCAATCTGGGACTGAGAGAGACTTCGGAGGCGCAATAAGAGTGCCAAGAACCAAGATGCTTAGAACTCTGTATCATGCTAGGTGTTTTTGCCCAGCCCAAGCAACCAACATACCTGGCCTTGGGCTTAACGGCTAAACAATTGCTAGTGTGATCTATCTAGTGCTTACTTTGGCATCTTGGTGCAACAAACAATATCATCCGTGTCTCAGAAACGATGCAGGTGCCTCTAAGCAGAAATCATGTAACAAGATTTTCATGTAAGGCGGACATAAGCCCAGACATCGGATTGAACCCCAGGGACTACACCTTTCACTTCATCCTGGCAGACAGCGCCCTTGGGTTCCAGAAGGCAGGGCCGCAAAACAAGGCTCCAGGAGCTTTGGAGTCATTTTTGTTCGGGGTCTTGACTCCTCTGATCTTGCAAGACTAAGCACCAGAACCCCCACTTGAGGGCTTCGAGAGTACACGGTTGGGAGGCCGACGAGCAGACGGTGGCCATGATCCTTCAGATGAAGATGCTCCTGAAGGCGGCCTGGCGGCCGTTTAGCGCACATGGCTTCCCGCTTTCATGAACGAAGCCGCCAAGTCAGAGCGGAGTGGATCAGGCAAAGGCGTGCAAGTGCCAGCTCCTGGCTTTCTGGGAAACGGGGCCCGCGACAAGTAAGCTGGACACGTGTTCTGTTCATAAATGTACAGCGCATCGGGGCCGCGTATGACTCGGATGGAACGTGTTCCAATGTTGCGTGATACGGAACTCTGTTTGGACCGGGGGTTCTACTGGTAGGAAACAGCACGTCCTGAATTCGAAATCGATTTGGAAGATCGAGGGAAGCGGGAGAGGGGACAGGCCACCTGCCCACCTGGTGTGAAGTCCATGCTCCCCCCTAGACTAGCGATTCTAGGATTCTAGGAGGTGAAACTTACCTTGTACCATTCAGTGGAACTCAGCGAGCCCGTGGCCTCTCCTCAGATGCTGAGTCTATGGCACGCGCCAAACTCGGGGGCGGGGTAACACACGCTTTCAATCGAAGTCAGGGAACGCACGTTACCCCAAACCACCCTGAGGATCGTGCACCTGAGCTGGAATTCAATCCACTGGCCTGGCACCCAGTGAGGTTCAGGGTTCCATGGCAGTTAAGAACTTATGTCTTTGCTTTTCTTTTGACACTTCCAGCACTGGCGTTAGCACAAGTTGCAGGGTGTCGGGTCGTGCGCTGGCAGTTGTTGGCTTTTGTCTACCTCCTGAGCAGGATAGTGATCGGAGCTGTTTAGGAGGCTTGAAAAGTGGGGCTGTTCTGCGAGGTGTGGCCATGCGATTTCAATGATTCACATCCACCGTCTAATCGAGCCTAAACCACAACTGGCTAGGCAGTTGTGGCCAAAGAGGAGATGGCATGAAAAGGCCAAAGGGTTCAAGTGGGCCAGAACAGGTCGAGATCTGCACCACTAACGCACATGCGCAGCTGGAGCTCCTCGGTATCCAGTGGCGGCCTTAGGTGAGGATCTCCAGACTTCAGGGGTACACAGATATTCCGAAGGCTATTCCCGTATATACCTTCCATCCAGTGAATCACCTTCTTGCGCCGCGAGGGGCATCACCCTAAGCTTTTTGTCGGCTTGGGGCGGTAAACAGGGCCATGGGGCTGCCCAGGAACACCATCAACACGATCTCGATGATGTCACGCGCGCTGGCTCCTGGGCTGCGAACCTCACTTCTTCTCATCCTCCAAAGCCCCGTAGGCCATGGGCAGATTGGACGAAGACCTCTACGCTTGGTTGGGACAGTCAGACAGAAGTAGCCTCACTGAGCTGATTTTCTGCCGAGCTGCGACAGCCGTCTCGTATCATGAGCACCTAGGCGCTTGTGGCAATTGACACCCTGGCACATGGCGTGCTCTCAGACTTGCTCTCGGCCACGGGCAACAACATGGATATCATGCGCCGCGGCAGTGGGAAAACAAAGCTGACAGAGCTGAGCTGGGCTCCCAACAGACTGACAGTGATATGGTGAGGCCTCTGGCTGACTACTTGGGAACGCAGCCGCTCCCCTCGCAGCCACATGGATGCAAACCCGAGAGGAATAGGAAGGTTTTTAGGTCCAGGGTTTAGTGAGGGCCGCCGTTGGAGACGCCGGCAGGGGCTCTTAAAGTAGGGTTGGGGGAGTTGGGGTTCGGAGCCGTGGGTTGTGACTCGTCGAGGATAGTGGTTCGAGGGACTTGAGTAGAAAAGGGCTTGCTTTCCAGGAACTAAGTGCTTCGCTTTAAATGGCCCCGAACACACTATGGCCACTACAGCAGAGCTCCCAGAATCAGAACACAACCCCCAGACCGAATCAAAGCATTCTCTGGTTGGGACTTGCTGAAGCATGGGTCGGATGGGCTTTTCGGGGATGGGATGGGCCCTGCGATGCAGTTCTCCTAAACAATTCCAGCGCCTTAACGCCCTACGCGGCAAGTGACCATTTGAGGATCTCCTTCGCAGAAGTGACCGCAATGGTGAATCGCGCGGCTCATCAGGTGCGCTATTACGTCAACCCATATTTGCACATGAAACCTCAAGCTGGCAGTGCGCAGACGGCTTTTTTAGCAGAGACTGTTGATCCGGACCTTTGCGTGGACTCTGCTGTGTGCGACGTGAGCTGCGCCAAGTGAACATAGTTCTGTGTTGCGCGGTGTGGTGTGACTGCGTACGAGCAGGGCTTCGGCTACGGTGTGATGTTGGAAGAAAAAAGAAGGATATCATCGGAGGTCATGTTTTGACTTCTCACCCCAGCCTCATCCGCTTGAACCATCAGGGCCCCAGGCTTCGAGGTAGGGCTCTGAGTAGTTGACATCAAGGTCGTGATCGGCTGGTCGGAAAGATCCTTGGCTGAACAGTGTTGTGCCCCAGCTACTTCTCCCTCATGCACGAGTTCATCCCATGGCGTCATCACGCCCCAGTCTCGCTGTGCCGATGGCGTTGTGAACTGCACGGTGTGTGTGGACAAGTCGCATGTTTGGATCTGCTTGGATCCGTCTCAGTGCTTGGGTTGGGCTTTGAGGCTTTAAGTTTGGCGGCTTGCAGGGTGCCATCTGCGCTGTTTTCGTGCCCAGGTGCAGTCGCTGATTTCTGGCGATGTCGAAGCCCTTCCCAGACAACCAACACCAACACAAACCTAGCTGCATGCTCAAACACTAGTTCGTGGAATTTAGCCACTGGCGCTGCAAGGAGATCACCATGGCAACAAGGCACGTCCGCCCGCACTTGCCAGTCCCTTCCGTGTCTGATTGTATGACTGTACATGAATTCCTACAGTGTCCTCGATTCCGGGCGCTTTGAACTTTGGGAAGAAGTTGACATAAAGATCTTGAAGCCGAAGGCCCTTCACCCGCGAACAGCCCAAAACTCCAGAATCCTGGAGCCCTAATTAACTTCGAAATGTGTTGTGATGACCTCGAAAGCTTTGAACCCAGCATGGCAAGCAGGTTTGGGTGGTGAACCCCAAGGAGAAGCTGCAGCCACGGATTTGGACGGATGAGGATCGGATCGTGGTGATCAAGGCCATGGTTCATGCTTTGCATGCCCCAATTTCTGTTAAGCAGCCAAGCCGGAACCCGTGTTGCTTTTGTGTCGTTTTTTGTTGTTGTGGGCCCAACCCGACCTGCGCAACAAGCCTCTGCACCCCAAAAAAGCAGACAGGAAGAGCGCCCCGCACGCACTGCAAGAGCAAACAAAGTAACTAGACGGCGGTGTCCCGAAAGCGTTTACAAAAAGAGTGTGTGCCAAAGTGTCAGGATGTGTGAGACAGAAGACCACCAACCAACGCGGAGTCGCCGCGCGGGCGAAGCAAATTATGATGCACCTGTCAACTGCCTGTGGTTCGGGATTTGAGCAAGGTACATGTTGTCAAAGCTTTTCGTTTTTCATGGTTGCACAGAGTAACTACACGCCTTTCTATAGCACAGGCAAGACACACATCAGTCAGTTGCGGATCAATTTAAAGCATGGTGTCCTCCTGTCGGGCTTCTACTACATGGTGCTCCGGCTACTAATCCTCAGCATTGTGGTCCATTGACCAAAACGATGCAGATGTGGCATGTGGAGGACCCTGAACCACAACACTCTAAATCTTGCCCAGAATTCAAGTGCAACACCTAGAGCCTTGAATGCAAATCCCAGAAGGCTATGGCCCTACAAATAAACTGTATTGGTTTGAGATCGTTTGGTAAAGAAGGGGCGGAGTTGCTTGAGAGCATGGGCAGTGTGGGTGGCAAAAAAAAGGCCCTGCACCAAAACTTCCCACGAGACTTGCAAAAGAAAACCCTCAAAGCATAACCTTCTCATCTCTCAGACGCAACCACCCATATCCCTGCACAAGCCAATGCCTCTAGCACCGGTACCCTAAACCCTAAACCCTAAACCCTAAACCCTAATCCCTAAACCCTAAAAACCCATGGCACTGGCCGAAGCAGCGACTGCATCAGATGCGGCGACAGCGCCCGAGGCAGGCGCACGGGTTTTCGAGGGCTCAAGGTTGGGCAAAGGCCATGTTGGCTCAGTTTCGACCAAATGTTCCTTGTGTGTGTCATCGCCAGCCTGGCGATGAAAAATTGAAAGCAAACACCGTTCTGTGCTGGCATCCGGATTGCATGCGCGTGTGTTTTGTTTTATCCTACAAGTATTTTGGCTCAGGTCTGTAAGACGGTCGAAACGAGGGACCTTCAATGCTGCCGACGTTGAAGCAAGTAGAGCGAAAGTGTTGCCTTGCCTCTTCTAATTCAGGAATGACGTTTGTTGTCACATGAATTCCTGGATAGAATTGAACGTTGTGGTGTGGGAGCTTGGGATTTGGGAGATTGTGCTGGTGATGGGCTTGGGCTGCCGGGTCAAGGCGAAGCGCCGGAAGGGGCCAACGCGACCGCTGCCGGTCTTCGTCTGCGAATATCACGACGAGGCATCTGAGCTCGTGTGCGAAGCCCAGGGCTGTGGGAGTGGGCTACACCATGCTACACCTGAGTGTCTTCGATCTTTCGAGGCTGTGCTGTTGCTTGAATGTCGATGTCTTGCGTGTGCTGTGGCAGAGTAGCCAGAAGTCGCAGCCACAGGCCTTGCGTTTTCTGCATTTCTGCATCCGCCGACGCAAGGCGGGGCATTTGGAGGTGATTTGTGATGGTTATTCCTGTTACAAAAGCTTTTGCTGCAGGAGGTTTCGTACCCTGGGGGTTGACATTTGCGAGTGCGAGCCCAGATAGACCGCATCAAAGATATCGAAGGCAGCGACATGGACCGTGCTACACGCAGTCACACCACCCACATTTCTTCTTGTTTTGTGGCGCCAAAGACCCAAAGCCGTAGCTCTGCGAAAGATCCCCTTCGCGGATCTTGCGATGGTGCACCTGGACGCTCATCCGGACCTTTCCGCATCCACAAAGCACCTTGTTTTGAGAAGGCGAGTCGGTTTACTGTACTGGCTTGCTGGTTGTCGAGTTTGCAACTCTAGACATGAGATCCTCACCGCATCCGAGATGGGTTTGGGCGGGGGAGGGGTTGGGTCGGGATTCACAGCACAGGGGGTACATGCAGGGGACGTCTAGGCCCCATGAAGTAAAGAAACCCAAGCCTCAAGCCTGCCAAACCCTAGATGAGTGGAGGGTTTGAAGAATGAGTCTTCAAGTTAAATGACAAGCGCCTGGTCACATGATGAGCCTCAGAATCTCCAAGCCGTCACGGCGTGGTGCTTCAAGAAAGCTCTTTCAGCATGACTGAGGCTGGAGGCAGACCGAATCTATGAAGACCCGCACGAGGCAAACGTTGAGTATGTCCTTGAAAGAACGTGAAGTCCGAAGACGCAGATGCCACCTAGGCGTCGCGGTCCATAAAGCTCGTGTTCCACCTCAAAGCGTTGTTGTCTTGCTGATGAGGGCTGGCAGGGGTGTTGCAGGATTGTCACTGCAGTGAAGTGGTAGATGAATCAATTTGGTGTGGGTAGTCTGGATACTGAGGCTTGTCGAATCTGAGAGACGAAATCCTAGTTGACTGGCCGCCCTGTACTTGGGACAAACAGTGCAAATCAGTGGAATCTTCTCCTGGTTTGTCCGAGAACCGGCAGGTCTATGCGTCCTTGCGTAAAGTGACTTGACTTGCTAATCAGCGTTCAGGCCGTGAGCACCCCCCAGTATCAGAAGCAGAGATCTGCAGAATTAGTGATCTCGTGCAAAATACGAAGATATGCAAGACAGCAGAGGGTTAACTGTGTTGACTGGGATCCATTCCCCCCTCAGTCTTGTTCCTTCTTTGGAATCTGACCCTTGGATGTAGAGCAAACACCATCGCAGAAAGACACAAGGATGGTCTCTCTGTATCTGATGTCGCAATTGCACCACACCTTCAAGTCAGTTGATGCCCGAACGTTGTTGTGAGCTTGATGTTTCGGAGTTGGCTGCAGCTTCTGTGATGGAAGTTGTGCCCGCCTGCTTCCGCACTCCCAGCCGAGAGTCGAGTTCAGGGCTCCGAACACATAAGAAAGACCTACGAAATGCCGAGGAGAATGGCGGCATCGCCCAGTGGATACTTCCGGCCGCGTACGGAGGACACCTTCGCAGTGTCTGGCCGCTGGGCATGATATGGCGGATGGGAGATGCTTTGTCATCCTGCATCGCCGAAATTTCCTTCGGCTTAAGAAAATACTGGCGGCTAGGCATCTGCAATCGAAAATGTGCAAGGGTGTGGGAGGACGTGGCCTGTCCGTTCTTGTCAGCCAAGCGGCTACTGAAACCGGACGGCTGGGATGTCTCTCTCTCTCTCTCTCTCTGTCTCTCTCTCTCTCTCTCTCTCTCTGTCTGTCTCTCTCTCTCTCCCTCTCTCTCTCTCCCTCTCTGTTGTTTCTTTCTCTACGACAAACAGATCACTCTCCCCGCACGCTTTCTTTGGTGTTTCGTTAGGCGCACCTCGCTGATTTCTGCTCACGCCCGGTTTGGCCAGAAGGTTCGTACTTCCAGCCGGAGCGTGGAAGGATCTGCCTCCCTGAAGAAATAGGAAGAGTATCCTTGCTTTGTCCTGGTGTATGGGACTGAACTCGGATGGCCCCGGATTGCCTGCACGCTAACCGTACCACGATAGGAAGTCTAATGACAGACTCCTGTTGCATCGACTATAGCGACTACGGCTTCTCGCACGCCTCGTCAGCTTACGACGGGCGTTGGGAGCTTTGCACAGACGTGCACATCGCGACGACGAAGAGTACATCTGCGTCGCGCTTTGGGCTGCAACTCCAGGATGCATTACGCTTGCATGCCTATATTGGGCCTATATCACGAGGCAAATGCCATCTTACATCGACCCCGCTGCGTCAGCCGCCCTCCAATTCAGGGTGATGTGCTGCTGACTGAACGGAGTAACGTGTACTTGGGGCGGCCGGACTTAGCTCAAGCCGGCAGAGCCACGACAGTCGACGGTACAGGAGATGAGGTGAGAGTTCGGGGAAGGTGGGGAATGACATGGGAAATACGATTCGGTTGATGGCAGCCTACACAAAAAAAGTTACTATCCATTGTCCTTGATTGTTTTGTTTGGGCTTAAGGTGGGTTCGTCCCCCAGCCGCGCGGCAGATCTCGGATGGGTTCTACGGCAGCCTGCATGCAAACAGCCATGGGCTTTGATGGGTCTTGTGCTCCCAACCCTCAGCCCCAAATGAAAGCACGCATTAGATCGGATCGACAGGCTACGCCGAAAGTATGCCAATGGGAGGGGGTCAGAGGGGTCAGAGTGTGCAAGAGCCGGAGCAATCCAAAAGATGTAAAGGCGCTCAGGTTCGAAGATCTCCCCTTTTCCCGCATCCTTTTCCTGCAGCCTCCGCATCCTTCAACTTCACGGGTGGGGTTCAGAGGCTGCCACGTCGGCTGCGGCCCTCCAGGCGCTACAAAGAGGAACCGTATGCTTTGGAAGCGAGCATCGTGAAGCCGCGCAGCGCCTCTTGACAGGGCCGAAAAGCGGCGGTCCGAAGAATGGTGCTCCTGATGGAGATGCAGAGGCATGCTCTTTAGCCGGTTTAGCCAACATGGACGGTTTCAGCGTGTCTGGCATAACAAGTGGGGCCTCTTGAGGCTACTGCGGTTGAGGGCATCAAGATCAGTTGCACTGAGCCCTATTTCGTTGAGGACGCATTGGGTCGTTGAATTCAGAACTGGCTCCTGCACCCGCCATGCCATGCTACCCAAGTGAAGGACGGCATCTACAGCCCGCAGGAGGCTCTCCGCAACACGAAGCCGCTGGATCTGACTGTGCCACGGCCCCCAGAACTTCTTTGTGAAGTTTCTTTTCGTAAAGCAACTCAGCTCAGGTTGTTCTCGGCTTGGGGCTAAGAACTTAAGAGCCGTAGAGGTTGAGAGAAGGTTTATAGCGTAACACATGTTAGCAGTCGCTCTCAAGATGTCGCAGACGCAGCTTTTGAGGTTGCAAGTGTTTCTGAGGAAGGGGAGAGGAAGGGGAGAGGCCGCAAAAGAAAAAACACGCAACGCCTGGTCCGTGCGCTCCAAATATGGGTTGGCGGATTGTTTTCAGGATGCTCCCGCTGCCAAAGCTTGCAAGTGCTGCATCTTTCAAACGCTGGGCATACTGCAGAGGGTACTGAGTGTACCGTCGGAACTGGGCACGGAACCGGTAGGATCCAGCACTCGCCCGGCCCCGTGTTCCCCACGAGCCATCCCAACAGTTCTCTCCCCACATGCAACCACCCCAACCGCGACAGCATGCCAAGAGAAGCCCGCAATCGACAAGGTCCCTCTTGCCAGAGGATGGCCAGCCGCTGCCGGCGTGGCGCAGTGCAGGTGTGCAAACTGAACAGTTGTGATATCGAATTTGTTGTTGCTGGCTGTGGTTGTTGCCGTATTCATCTGAAAAACAAAGAGTAGATGGCAAAAGTGGTCGTGCAGGAGGCGCGGTGAGCTAGAGGGAGGCAGGGAGAGAGTGTAGAAGGAGAGAGAGAGAGAGAGAGAGGAGAGGGCTTAGAGGGGTTTATGCTTTGGTTAGTCTGAGGCGCTGTCACATGTTGCGCCCTATTCGTCATCCTCCACCAAGCACCCGTTTCACACCGACTAACTCTGTTCGGGAGGTCATACTCGCTGCAAGCAAGCGATAGAGGGAGGGAGGGAGGGAGAGAGAGAGAGAGAGAGAGAGACGGAAAGTGATAGCAGTTCGCCAAACGCAGACTGGGGCGCGCCTTGGCGCGGAGCCCTGCTCCATGCCCCAAAAGAAAGAAAGAGACGGAAAGAGCAGCACCGTTAGCTCCGGTAATAGCATCCTACCCAAAGGACGGACCGAGTGGACTGGGCGCGCCTGTGCGCGCGGGGGGTCGTGCGCGCGGGGGGTCTGCGGGCCCCTCGTGCCCTGTGGAAGAAGAAGACGGAAATAGAGAGAGAGAGAGAGAGAGAGAGAAGCAGAAGCATTACAGATAAATGTGGGGGATAGGGGGAAGGCTTCTGGAAGGTTCGAGCAAGGTTCCGGGGGATTGGGGAAAAGGTTGTGGTGCAAAATAACAGGGTCAGGCCAGCCGGGCAAGGGGAGTCGTGCTAGAAGTAGAGACGCCAAAATAGGAAGAAGTGCGGCGTACAAGCCCGTAGCGGGGAAGTGATGGATCTGCTTAGTGCTCCTAGGCTCGGGATTTGTGCGGTAATTTAGGTAACCTTAAGTTCGGGGAAACGGCCACGCTACGGACACCAGCTGCACAGAGGGTAGGGACATGACAGACCCCAGCATCGATACGAGTACTGTGTTCATCAGAGTACAGTAAACCTGCCATGTTTATCCGCAAAGGGGGATGCTAGCGGGGGAGTTTCACGCGGCAGGCCACACCATGGGGGCGAGCGAATGTAGTAGCGCTGGGTCCAACCGTGTAAGCGCCTGTCGTAGTGGTCTCACTGGACCTGACTCAGCCTCGGGCGCGCTCCGTGCGCGGGGGGGCACCCCTAAGCCCAGCAGAAGAAGAAGAAGCAGAAGCATGAATCATGGCTTATATGTTTGGCAAGCTAGGGGGGGGGATCGTGAACCCCGGCACGCAGCTCTAAGGCATCGCAAGGGGTGCACAGGCAACACAGGCCGTGGACCCGTACTTTCACCCAGAAAGTGGCCCGCGAAAAACGCGGAAGTCACACCCGACAAACCGTGGACTTCGCGCGCCCCTGGGGGCGGCCTTCTCCTTCGGAAAGGGCCAAGCGTGCAGAGAGAGAGGGAGAGAGAGAAGCGCTACGCGTGCAGGAGAGAGAGAGAGAGAGAAGCAGAAGCAGAAGCAGAAGCAGAAGAAGAATAAGCAGAAGCAAAAGACAAAGGAGAAGGAGAAAAAGGATAAGAAGAACAAGGTGGCGGCGCCCGTAAGAGGCCGTGTGAGTGAACACATTTTTTGTTTACATTTTTCGCGTCGGGGGCTAAAAACCCAAGCGAAACACATTTTCGTGATCACCGCAGCATTTGCAGGGCTCGAAAACACTGAAGGGTTAGGTCATTTTTTCGGAAAAATGCATTTTCGCTCGAAGCCTGATCGTTTTTTTTGTTGTTTTTTTCCAGGGGGTCCTTTTTTTTTGAAGTTTTGGACGCGTTTTTTGCTCGAATTTGCGCTCTCGCCTAGGCGCGGGCACGTTTTGCTCATTCCCGATGTTGAACTTTCAAATGGCGATTTTCGGTTTGGGAAGTTTTTTCTGCGTTATGGCTCCGGCAGTTCAGGTTCGAAATGGTGCTCTCGCCACAGCGCAGGCATGATTTTCTGGAATTGCGCTTTGGTTGTAACCCAACTTCTTCAGGCTTCAAGGTTCAAAGTTTAGGGTTCAGGTTTCAGGATTTGGGTTTGCACTGCTTGGACTATTCTTTTGGGTTTAAGGATCGTTTGTTTGTTGTGGTTTTTTCTAGGGGGGTGTCGTTTTGAAGTTTCGGACACTTTTTTTGCTTGAAATTGCGCTCTCGCCTAGGCGCGGGCGCATTTTGCTTATAAACCCCGAATTTAACAGCAAGGGTTTAGGCCTTTGGGGATTAGGGGTTCAGGCTTTGGAGTTGCAGGTGTGAAGTCCCAAGTCACGTGATTACCCCCCCCCCCCGCCCCCCCCCCGCCCCCCCCCCCCCCCCCGCCCGCCCCCCCCCCCCCCCCCCCCCGCCCCCCCCCCCGCCCCCCCCCCCCCGCCCCCCCCCCCCTAAGGAAACATTTCGCGCGTCGTACCGTATCGGAGTTTGCGTGGAGATGGGCAAAAAGTCGAAAAGCGCAAAAAACAAGAAAAGCGCAAAAAGTCGAAAAACAAGAAAAGCTCAAAAACCAAGAAAAGCACAAAAAACGATAAAAACCCGAAAAGCGAGAAAAACGCAAAAACCAAAAAGAACATGCATGTAGGTTCGTGCTTGTCGCCTTTTTCGCGTTTTGCGCGCTTTTCGCGTTTTTCGCGCTTTTCGCGCTTTTCGTGCTTTTCGCGTTTTTCGCGTTTTTCGCGCTTTTCGCGTTTTTCGCGTTTTTCGCGCTTTTCGCGTTTTCCGCGCTTTTCGCGCTTTTCGCGTTTTTCGTGTTTTTCGCATTTTTCGCGTTTTCCCGTTTTTCCTGTTCGAGCCCTCGGCACGAGTCTCTTCTCAAGACTGCCGGAAGTGGTGGATGAGAGCGACGCCGTGGACTGTGACGGCCTGTTGCAAGTCTGCCAGGCTGGGTTGCTGCGCTTGGGATTTTGTACAGGGATGTTTCGTCAACATAAAAGAGCTTGGGTGTCTGGGTTTGTCTCAAGGATGGCCCAAACTCTAAATCCAAGGCCCCAAGCTCTAGCCCATAAACCGCCCTAAGCCCTACCCCATAAACCCTTAACCCAAACCAGAAAACCCTGTGTAAAGAGCTTCACCAGTTAGGAGCTCAGCATCATACGAGGACTTTGTTTGCATGCACTACCACATGAATCCCTTATACATATATACATATATACATATATACATATATACATATATACATATATACATATATACATATATACATATATACATATATACATATATACATATATACATATACATATATACATATACATATATACATATATACACATATATACATTATACATATACATATATTATACATATATACATATATACATATATACATATATACATATATACATATATACATATATACATATATACATATATACATATATACATATATACATATATACATATATACATATATTATACACATATTATACATATACTATACATATATTATACATATATACATATATACATATATACATATATACATATATACATATATACATATATATATACATATATATATATATAGATATATGTATATACGTGTGTGGGTGTGTGGGTGTGTTAGAGAACACAGACACAGAGAGGAGAGAAGGGCCGAGAGGCAGACAGAGAGATAAGGAGCAAACGAACCCAGACCTAAGCCCTGAAACCTTAAAATTTAAAACCCCAGCCCTATAACCCCCCCGCACCCACTCCAATACTTAAGAATCCACCCTAAACGCCTGAACCATCCCCAACCCCCAAGTCGAAACTCTAAACCCTGAACCCTATACCCCCCTGGAGCTACGCGCGGGCCACTCTGACGACACATTCAGGGTTTGAAGCATGTTTATTTGGGGCGGTTTCGGGTAAGTTTAGGGCTTGTAGGGTTTGGAATTTAGGGACGTGTTCTGTCCTTGTTTCCGTTTTCGCGTTTTTCGCACTTTTTTGGCGTCTTTCGCGTGTGTTGGGTATTTTCCCGTTTGTCGCGTTTGCGCGTTTTTACCGTTTTCGCATTTTGCGCGTATGTTTTTCGCGTTTTTTCGCGCTTTTCGCGTTTTTCGCGGTTTTCGCGCTTTTCGCGTTTTTCGCGTTTTTCGCGGTTTTCGCGTTTTTCGCGCTTTTCGCGGTTTTCGCGCTTTTCGCGCTTTTCGCGTTTTTCGCGTTTTTCGCGTTTTTCGCGGTTTTCGCGGTTTTCGCGTTTTTCGCGTTTTCGCGTTCTCGTCACCGCCTCCGCTTAGCCAAGACACACAAAGCGTTTCCACAGCACCCCCCCCCCCCCCCCCCCCCCCCCGCCCCCCCCCCCCCCGCCCCCCCCCCCACCCGACCCCAGAAATTGTGTGTTACTCGCACGGCCTCTTAGAGGCGCCGTCTCCAAGAACAAGACGACTAAGAAGAATAAGAAGAAGAAGAATAAGAAGAAGAAGAAGAAGAAGAAGAAGAAGAAGAAGAGACGAAGAAGAAGAAGAAGAAAGAAGAAGAAGAAGAAGAAGAAGAAGAAGAAGAAGAAGAAGAAGAAGAAGAAGAAGAAGAAGAAGAAGAAGAAGAAGAAGAAGAAGAAGAAGAAGAAGAAGAAGAAGAAGAAGAAGAAGAAGAAGAAGAAGAAGAAGAAGAAGAAGGAGATGAAGAAGAAGAAGACAGAGGAGAGACGGAGGAGAGGAGGAGAGACAGAGGAGAGACAGAGGAGAGACAGAGGAGAGACAGAGGAGAGACAGAGGAGAGACAGAGGAGAGACAGAGGAGAGACAGAGGAGAGACAGAGGAGAGACACCAGAGAGACACCAGAGAGACACCAGAGAGACACCAGAGAGACACCAGAGAGACACCAGAGAGACACCAGAGAGACACACCAGAGAGACACACCAGAGAGACACCAGAGAGACACACCAGAGAGACACCAGAGAGACACCAGAGAGACACCAGAGAGACAGAAGAGAGACAGAAGAGAGACAGAAGAGAGGCAGAAGAGAGGCAGAAGAGAGACAGAAGAGAGACAGAGAGAGAGAGAGAGAGAGAGGGGAGACAGAGAGAGAGAGATACCAACAACATCGGTCCGTACCCACCTGGCATGTTTTTGCCTTTTCCCATTGCCCAAAGTTGGCGGCGTACACGCGTCAACCACGATCCTTGTGTTAACAGTACCCTGTCTGTTGGGAGCCTTTGACGTGCACACACCTTTTCACACAGCTCTACAAACTCGGTGACGCGTGCCTTTCGGGGCGGTCTCCCTTCGGGGAGATCACACGCGGTGGAAGGAAGGAAGGAAGATATAGAGAGAGAGCGTAGAGAGTGTCACACCTTCTGCCGGGAGTGGAGCCAACTGAGACCTGCACCCGGCTGAAGCTCGGAACGCCTGTGTATGTGGGACTGCTCAGAGGGAGCCGTTGCCTATAGTTCCTGGCCTTATGTTCGTGAGTTGGACAGGGAGATGCTCCGCCCCCAGAGGCGATCGATCTACCGATGCCGCGGCCAGTCCCTGGCTATTGGATGCACCTAGATGTGGATCAGAGTGAGGGTCGTGTGAGGTATGAGGCGTCGGGACAACATGTACGCACCAAAGGGGAAGTAGCAGTTTTTTTCTTCGCAAGGTTGTAAGGCTGTAGAAGCCGTTTGCAACCATACTAGTTTCCTGCCTGTACCAGTCGACCCATGGGGCCTGGTTCGGAGTTTGGTCAGGATTGGAGAACGGCTTCGGAGAAGCGTAGAGCGGTCCCAGAAACGACACGAACCCAGCATAAAGTTTCGCCTTTAGTTTCCAAGTTTTGGGCTTCGGTTTTGGGGCTGGAGGGAAAATAGAGCCTGTGACCTGTGGAGTTCAGACAAGCTGGCATGCTGGGACTTGGCCCGAGCTTCTGGATACATGAGCTACTAGTCTGTGCCCTGAGTGCCTTGCCAGCTGTACACAGGGTTGAGACATCTCAGCGGCGAGTGGGGTGAGGTGCGGTGCGGTGGGATGGGATGGGGTGGCTTGGGTAGGTTACAGCTCCTGTTTTTTTGTCGCGAGACCTCGCTTACTCAACTTTGTGTTTCCCGACGACGCCTTGTCAAAAAACTCTTGCGATGCTAAAAGTTCATAGTCCACACGGAGTCAACACCATGGCTCGTGAAGCACAAGGACAGCACGAGGAGCAACATTCGCAGATGGTCGCCCCATGGAACCTTCGGCCGGGCATTCTTGGGTTGAGGAATTTATGCCTTAGGTTCCAGAAGTATCTACTAAGTCACTTCAGCCCACTGCAGCTTCAGGTGTGCTTGGACTATTTCGCTTGCGAGAATCCCTGGCTTAGTCAGGCCAGGGCGGCCTTAAAATAGCGGTAATGCTGACTGCTGTCGCAAGTTTCTAGCAAATCCAGGGTCTGCCGACGCAGATCCCATAAACATGTATTGGCAGCGTCCCCGGTCGGGGTACACGTCCAGGCCCGGAATGTATTGGAGGGTCAGCACTCCGGAGGGGTGTCGGGGGGCGGGGGGGTTGGGGTAGATCATGCGTTCGCTGGGCTTGTGAAGTGCATTGGGTGAGTAGTTGACGACTCAAAATAGTTGCACGGTCCGTGTCTGCTGTCATGCGCAAGCAAGCTGCATGGTGCGTCGTACTTAGCCCAGGATTGTCCCATGGCGACGTCAAGCCCCTAAGGTACACAGCGCAGAAGTCCAGTTTTCAAGTGTGCGCTGTCATCCAGGGTTTCGGACTGCAAGGAACAAGCTCGCCAAACCCTGAAACAGGTCCGCCCAAAGGTGGCGGAACCACTGGCGGAGATCTACTGTGCGGCTTCCTTCCGACGAGGTGCTGCCTTCAACAGATTGAAACGGGCCTAGGCTTGAGGTGCTTTGTTGAGGTTAAGTGTGCCCTGTACTTGAATGTAGTTGCAGTTTGAAGGCTGCACTTCGCCTCGCTGTGTTTTTGCGCTCGTATTTTGGATGGTGGGTCAGGGGGGCAGGCTTGGATCTTGTGCCACTGATCACTACTATCACCAAAACCGATGCTCCGCAGTGGCGATATTCAACGTTACATCGGCGCCCCCGTGTTGTCATTTCATGCTGCAATTCGGCGTCCGTCGGTTGGTCCGTTGGTTTCTGAAACACACCCTGCCGTGAGTCAGTGGGTGAGTCAGTTGACCCGTCGTCCGGTCTTGAACTTGTAGCCAGTCAGTCAGTAGGTCGGTCCATCTTCTGGTTTTTTTCAGAACTTGTGACCAGGCGGTCAGTCGGATGTGGGCCCGCCTTCTTCCTTGTCCAGACAAAGTTTGCAATGTCCATGCGCTGCCGGGTTGTGAATTGCATGTACCCTGAACCCTGCGAGAACATGAAAGAAGCAGAGGAGGATCAGGAGGAGGATCACGAGGAGGCTCAGGAGGAAGCAGTCCCTAAACAACACGGGTGATGCGCAAGGAATGTAATTAGTCTGCTAGCGTGCAAGGTCGTTGAAAAGGTGCACAGCCGGGCAGCAAATGAAGACGCAGCTGATCAAGGATCGAAAGCCTTCTTGTGCACGCAAACTTTTGTGGGCTGCACCCCCAAACCCATCAAAACCCTAAACTTTCTGAACCCAAAGAGTCGAAGCCGAAATGGCTGCGTAGATACCTTGCGCAAGACCATCGCTGGGCATGCCCAATCTTAGCTTTGGAGCCCCAGGTCCTGTTTCATATTATTCATATCTGAGTCATATCTTCAAACCTGAATCCGTGCCAGGCCCTGAACCTCGAATATCGGAAACCTGTACGATCCGAAGCATCGTTTCGGAGTTCCCAAACTGATGTGCACTTGTTTTGTGGTGCGTGCTGGCTGTTGGTCTCTTGTTGTGCTTTGCTTTTTGTTGATGGCCTCGGACTTTCCGCATGAACTACATGGAAAGAACGAGAACGAAAGAACGAGACAAGGCAACGCCAAAGCCGAAAGTTAAACGCCAACGCCGCACCAACCTGTAACGTTTGGATTGAGAGCGTCGCGCAGGGTGGGGGGGGGGGGGGACCTGGCTTTGCCAAGGCATCAAGCACCTCGAAATGCTGTAGCTTGTGCAGTGTCCAGAGCTGCCGATCACTTTGAATTGCTCGATTGTGCAATGCTCGAATCAAGGCGTTGGAGACCAGGTGGACATTCCAAATGCTGTATGATGCTGAAAGTTTCATGTTTTGGAGCCGCTGAACGACAGAACATGTGGTTTACGCGTGTGGAACTGGGGCACGTCTCGAAAATCGAAACGAAACGGCATAGCCCACAGCATATCCTTGCAATACTGCGGCACGGAAGCTGCTTTGCTTTAGTACGCACCTCGACAGTCTGTAATTCACAGCGTTTGGAGCTGTTGAGGTTCGAAATGATGTCCCTTTATAGCCTTGAGAACTGTTGCACACCTCGAACAGTTGTAACTTACAGCTTTCGTAAGCTTCCGAACAATTGCAAAAAGCGGTGTTCTTACAGGAACCTGCATTTCTGCTGCATCTCATCTGCAACCCTTCTAGCCTTACACCCCATCGGGGGTCCCCAAGGGCCGGTGTCCAACCTCGCCGACTTCCACGCGCAGTGCGCAGGATTCGATGCGGCGTACATGGAGGCTTGCAAATCCACAGAACATTGGGGTGGGCTGGGACTTTGGTGTTCGCACTGCGACTTTGGTGCCATGCATTCCTGTGCCCTTGTTGGCTCACTTTGAGTTGCCTTCATTCGCCTCCACGGCCCGAATGCTCTTTGCAGAGCCACCATCAGAGACACATGGCCTCACTTTGCCCAGCCAAGGTGCTGCGGCTTGCGGAGGCTGAAGAGGAGGGAACGGAGGCAATAGGGGTTGGAGTCTGTTTTTGGTGGCATCGGCTGTTAGTTCTGGATCCATCTCTCCGTGCACTTTGTGGGCTTCGTGCTTGGTACAGCTTGTTTTCCTCCGCACCCAGTTCCTGGTCGCGCCAATCTCTGGCTCAAGCTTGGTGTTGCCTTGCATGAGGAGCTTGTGGCAGTCTCTACAAGACCAAGTAGCCGAAAGCCTTCAACAGTTTGCGGCACTGGAACCTGCTAGGACAGTGGAGCATTAGACTCAGGCTGGCTTTGGCATAGAAAGCCTACACTCTGGACGACCTAAGCCTAAGCACTCTCCAGACCCAAACCCCAAGCCCAAACCCAGGAACCCTTGCTGCCTGCCATGCTCCCACGGGGCCGTGATGGCACGAGTGAAGCTGATGAGCTCGATGACCGTGCCAGGCATCAATACAAGGCGCCATCGGCAGACGGATATCCAGGTTCAGTCAATGTTGTAGGCTGTCGATGGCTGTCTCCACGACCTGTGCTTGCTGCAATGGTAGCTTTGATCCGAGGCCGTCAGAATAGGGTTTCATGGGCATGGTGTGAATGCTCTGCTGAATTTGCGATGGCATTGCATGCGGATTTTGGGCAGCTTGACGCACATGGCACGACCTTGCGAGGTGGTCCTCCAGTTTCTGCAAGAAAAGGAGCTCTTCGAGACACTCTTGGCCCTGCAGAGCGAGACTGGGGTGAAGTACACCGAAGCTCTGCTTGTGTTCAATCCTCCTCACTCTCAGGGCCTACTAAGGCCAGTTGTAAGGGCTCCAAGAGACGGTGCCTACTGTGCGAATAAAGAAGCAACAGGTGTAGCGCACCTGCGCTGTGTTCATTGATGGGTGGCGCGTGTGTTTTCTGCGTTGCTTCTGTGTGTGCGTGTGTGTGCATGAGAGCCGAACCGTAGATCTACAAACGAACCGGACAGCAACTCATCACATTTCTGCGACGTCATGTCTGCACCGAAGCAGCTGCGCAAAGTTTGGAGGGCCTTGCTTTGGGTTCACCCGCTCCGCCCTAGAACTCTTCAACCTGTCGGAGTCGAAGCCCATGAGCGCTCAGTTCGACTCAATGGGTCTGAGGATGGAGACCTGCCTGTGGCCAGCATCCTCCAAGCAAGCCTGGATATGTTGCTGGGTGAGGTTTGGTTCGTGAACAGGATTTTTTGACTGACTGAGCGCCCGACAGCCCTTCGAGATGAGAAATCCGTGGTATCTGTGCCTAGCCCCACCCACTGATGCAACTCCATGTCTTTGTGGCCGCCCAACCTCAGGTTCTCCACCATGGCAGGAGCCCCTGCAGAGCAGGAAGATGGCGCCGAGGTCAAGGCCAGCGGAGCAAGCCACCGCAGTTCAGCTTCAGGCGGCAAAACCGACTAAGCTCTGGTTTCTATAGGATATAAGATTGCGCTTCATCTCCACCAGCATTACCAGGCCGCTGCGGCACTGGAGGCCTTGCAAGGCGGCGCCTGCGCAACGCGCCTGGCGGAGCCAGAAGGCCACTGGGCCGCCGGGTCATCAGTTGCACCGGCTCGGGGCAATGTTGTAGGCGAAGCAGATTTGACTGCCCTGACTCCAAATTCCGAATCCTGGACCTGGGACAACACTTGGGAAATGCGCCCAGGGCCCGAAGCCTTCGCAGCGAATGTAACTGCAGTGTGCTGGGCGGCGAGGTCCTTCGACGAGGCCAGAGGGCGGAGGGCTCCTGCGCGTTCTCAACTTGGCTTGAGGCTCACGGGTCCTGTGCCGCAGGCCCTGAGCATCGTGGCCACTGCTGATCGCAAGCTCCGAAGCTCAGCTGAACTCGGAGTTCGTGGGAATTTTGACGAAAATGGCCTCAGGGACAGATTGCGTAAATTCTCAGGTACCGAAAGCCGCAAGGCCTGAAACCATTCGCAGATCGGCGCAGTATGTTGCTGTCTCGGTCTCAGCGATATTGCCAAAATGCCTTAAAACTGGGCCCGAGGCCTCATCGATGGCAGCCAGGCTCAGGGCCTCAGAGCCTCCTCAGAGTTGGCTTGGACAGTGGGGCCGATGACTCCATGAAGCAAGCAGTCCGACCGGATCGGTAGTTTCGTGCTTAGCGCTGCTTAGGATGTCAAGGGGTAGTGGATGTCCACTTTCTTGTAGGAGCTGTCCCCATGCTTGACAAGCGACCCACAGAAGAACCCTCAAGCGCACCAAAATCCGGGCCCCAGAGCTGAGTCCCAAAGCATCCTTCTTGTCTGGGGACAAAAGCTTCGCCAGGTCTTGGCGACCTTCGAGGACCATTTGGCGGCTTTGGGGGGATGAGAACTCTTTCCAGAGGATGGGAACAGAATAGCAAAACTGTTACAGGAGGGGACTAGGTCGCATTGCCCTGGGAAGGATCTCTTGTCTCCGCCGCTGAGCCTCGACGTGTCGGCCTGTGGTGAGGAGTGGGGTGTCTGAGATTGCGCATGCTAAATATAGTTTTGCATGTGGGTGTGTGATGGCTCAGGTTATGTGGGGTCAGTCTTCAAAAGGAAACGCGAAAGCCAGACCTGAAGATACCTGCATTGCTGCTGCAAACCCTTTGGACCAGCGACCCTTCGGCCCTTTGTGGAGATACAGCCAACAACCTCCAACAACTTCCTCCCCGCCACATGCGCAACACGAGTGCAAGAAGCCTCTTAGGCCGAGTCTCCAGGTGCTGCTGTGGGTCGCGGCTTTGGAACCTGGTAGGGCTATAGGCCCCCAAAAGGCCCCGAAGCCCTGGAGGATGACCGCCAGGAGGTGCTGGTGCAACTTGGACGTTTGAAGAAGGCCTGCGCAGTGTCATGTCTCTCCGTCGAAGGAGGATTTCACGGGATTTCAGGGGGTCTATATCCCACGAAAAGGAGTCCCGGGCTTGTGGGATGAAAGCCTTCTGAGCCTATTCAAGGACCACGATGGGCGGTGAAGCGCTGGTTCTGGGTTTCCGGCGCTTGGGAGCCTCCGGCCAGGGCTACCCAGAGCTTGGGCGAAAAGTTGGCGAGAATTAGCGGATTGGGCGGTTGAGGGCATGCTTGCTTCAGCGGCCTCAGATTAGGCTGTGGGAGCCCTTCGGGCAGGTTGTACGAGCTGCGCCTGCTCTCTCCTTCATATCTCCTTCATGCTAGCTGACTTTTGCATCCTCCTCTGACCAGCTCTTGTGTAGAATCATCTGGTTGTCACCCTGGTCGCGCATGGACTGACTGCACGTCATCAGTGCCCGTTCAACGCCACGATAGCAATGTCGCCTCTTCGTTCAATCATTAGTCTATTCTACTCGCTTTCTGGGCTTTGGAGTTTTGCCCCAAACCGTAGAAACCTCAAACTCAGCTAGACGGGTGCCAAACATGAACCGTTTTTTCCCAAGCCATGCATCTGATGTCCCACAAGGACTCGGTTGGCGCAGGGCACTGGGTCTTCGAAGTGCGCCAGAAGTTCAAGGACCACCGAAAGCAGGCAGGTTTTCACCCTGCTTGTACCACCGTTGCCGATGGGGTGTCTGGAGTTGCGTGGAGTTGAGGAGGCCAGTGTAGAACCCCAGCGCGAAATCCGAAAAGCTGATGCTATCGAGACCACCGGCAGGTCACCAGTGGCTGCTTTGCTCCAGCTTGCGGTGTTAGCAGCTCACACTTCATGACGATCTCGCGCGACCACACTGCGAACTTTTACGGGCGACGCTGGGAGCAACTTGAAAGTGCTCACATCACTCCGGTGTTGTTGTAAAAAACTTCGACCTGCGCTCTGCCCAGGAGCAGACTCGGAGTTCACTCTCCTGGGTTCCTACAGTTTTGTCGGTGAGGTCCGAGCCACGGCAGCCCGATAACAGCATGCACCAATTGTACCAGCCTCTGGTTGACATCAGCTTCTCTTTTTTCTTGGCCCCGAAAGGATTTTTTTCTCAACCCCGCCCTGCTTCCGACTTCGATCTTTGTCCAACCCCGCGTTAAGAGTTAAAACCAATTCTTGTCTTCTTCCGACCCCATTGTACAGCTCCTGTCTACAGCTGTATGTTTAAACAAAACTTCTTCTTTGCTGGACCCTGCAAAGGCTGTGTCCTGACCCCAGATCTTTTTCCTGACCCGAGAGGTCTTTTTCTGGACCTCCGCAAAACAAAGAGATTTTAACCCTAAAACTCTAAAAAAAGAACCTAAACTTGGCCCTAAACCCCAAGCCCTAAGCCCTTTTAAGAGAAGGCGCCTTTCTGGTGAAAATCGTGATTTGGCAGAATTCTTAATGAAGGCAGGTGAATGGCTCTCTTGGATAAGAGTTCGTTTCGCTTTGTAAGAAGGGTAAGCCATAGCTTATCTGCGCCAAGTTTTGAGAGAAGTTCGTTCTCGCTGATAAGAGCAACAATTCGAATAGCTTACCAATCCAGATTTGAATCCTGCTTTTGGAGGAAAGTTCGTTTTTGCGTTGCGAGAACAAGGAAGCCAGGCGATGTTGATTTGAGTTTGAGAGCCATACACATGTAGCACAGCAACTGTGCTAGCCAAAATCTCACGTCCATCAACCCTTTTTTGGCCCCAAATTGTGGTTTCAACAATAAAGCACAAGTTCTTGTTGACCTCAAGCCTGGCTCCCAAATGAAAGAAGCCACGTGGTTAAGACAAAGGCATTTAGGGGCCAAGAAAACGACCGGCTCGATGTCAGCTACCTGTCGAACAGCTCAGAACCAAAGCTGTAAGTCCACGCCAGGTCACAGCCTGCTGCTGGTTGGACTCGCAGACTGCCGTGCTGGCCGCGAGGACTCCCAAGCACGTCCGCCAGAAATTTCTTGCAACCCACAGCCCAGCTCCAGTGAACACCCAACCTCACACCTCAACTCCATGACGTGTTCGTGAAGCCCGAAGATGCAAGCAGGAACGACCATGAGCTCCACTATCTGGAGATGCAGGGCGTGGGAGCCGAAGTTAAGGACCTTGGGTGCTGGCAAAAACTTGCTGGGAGTGCGCAGGAACTCAACATGCACGGAAGCATCGAAGCAGGTGTGCTTGTGTC